TCAGGCCCGCTGGGGTTCTACGAGGCAAATGGACTCATCGACTCGGGCAGCACGTTTTCGCTCATCTCCATGCGGACGGCATACTCGCTGGGCCTCGACATCGAGGGGAATCTAACGGCGCTAGAGCGCTCGACCGTGGACATCGGAAAGCGAACGCTCCTCATCATAGGCGCCGCCACCCTCCCCCTCGTACTAGCGGACGAGGCAAGACGCCAGCACACGTTCCTGATGCGAGTGCTGGTGGTGCCGGACATGGTCGCAGACTTGATCATTGGATGGCGGTTTTTGAAAGACGAGAAGGCATTCCCGGTCGCTCACCAGGACACGCTTGTGATCACGGGTAAGGGAAGCGAAGACATCAGGATCCCGATGCATACAGGGATCGGTCGAACGGCGGCGGTGGCGACCCCGACGATCGCCAGGAAGACCGTCACCAAGGAGGATGTGACGTTTGGAAAGGACGTCACGCGCGAACAGCGCGAGCGCACTCTCCGGGTACTGAACAAGTACCCAGCGCTAGTGCTCGGCACGACGCCACGCCGGTTTACCTCGCTGGAGAAGGCGACTGTCGTGCTCATGGAGGGGGCCGAGCCGTTTTGGCGAGCAAGTAGGCCACGCTCGGCCCACGAGCGAAAGATTCTCCAAGCAGAGCTGGACGCACTGGAAGACGCAGGCTACCTGAGGAAAGTCCCCGAGTCGGAGCGTACGATCGATTCCCATCCGTGGTCGTTGCCCGTGTTCCTGGTCAAGAAGGCGGGGAAGGTGACAAAGTATGATGACAACGGCAACCCACTCCCAGGCTCAATGCGGGTGGTGCAAGACGCCCGAGAGCTGAACAAGCGGTGTGCGAAAGAGTACAACGAAAAGCTTTCCGTGCGCTCCGTGCTAGACGCGGCAGGCAAGAGGCGCTACTGGACGCGGATTGATTTTGATAAGGCCTTTCACCAAGTCATGTTACGAGAGGAAGACAGGGCCAAGATGGCCTTCTCGCTTGACACGGGCGAGCTTTACGAGTTCGTAGCGATGTCGATGGGATGGATTAACGCGCCATCAGTGTGGAACCGAGTCATGGCACGAGCACTGGGCCCGATGCTGCAGCGAGTGGCATTCTGGATGGACGACGCCGTAATGGGCTGCGACGACATCGACGAAGGCATCGAACAGCTCGAACAGCTGTTGAAGCGCCTGGACGAGGCGGGGCTTACGATCTCGCTCCCCAAACTGGAGCTCTTTGTCGATGAGACGGAGTTCGTGGGTTTAACGATCTCGGAGGAGGGCATCGGAATCAAGGAGACCGCCAAGGACCTTTTCCGGACGATGGAGCGTCCCACTACCACAGCGGCGCTCCGGTCGTTCCTGGGAGCGGTGCAGTGGTTCGCGGCATGGATACCACAGGCATCAGCCAAGTCGAACATACTCTCGATGTGCATGCGCAAAGGTCATCGACTGGAGTGGAATGCGGAGCGCATCGCGGCGTTTGAGTCGCTGCGCGACGCCATCGCAGACGCGGAGCCGCTCGCGCACGCAGCGGAGCTAGAACGCGAGGGCACAACGCCAGTGGTAGCGACGGACGCATCCGTACGGGCAGTGGGAGCCGTGCTGTCCGTGAGAGATGCCAAGGGCACGTCGCGGGTGGTGGCTTACGCCGCACGAGCTTTCGCGGAGCGCGAGCTATCAGCGGGCGTGCCGGACAAAGAGCTCGCGGCAGTGGTCCATGCGCTTACCAAGTTCGAACCGTACTTGGACGGGCGACGCTTCGAGCTGCAGACTGATTCACGGGCCGTCAAGGGGATGATCGAAAGCGAGGACCCGCCCCCGGACAGGAAGCGGGCGCGCTGGTTGGCATTTATCCGCTCTTTCACCTTCAACGTCGTGCACGTACCTGGAGAGAGCAACGGTGGTGCCGACGCCCTCTCCCGGCTGATCCTCAACCGCCCCGACCCAGAGTGGGAAGCCATGGCGGCAGAGGAGGACACGCGCGTGGAGAGGCGGATCAAGCGCTCTGTGGCCGCCCCAGTAACGACGCGCAGCCAAACGGCGTCACGCGACAATGCGCACATGGAGACAGTCATGGCGGCGCTGCTTTTCGACTCGGACGACGAGGAAGAGACGGACGAACCTCAGGCAGGCTCTCCGGAGCCCGCGGTGCGGGCACAGGAAGACACGGCGCTAACCGCGGCGTCGCAGACAAGACGCAGGCGGCAACGGGCAACAGCAGGCCCCCACCGTGGGCCACGCACCTTTACGGGCGAGTGGCGACTCGGGCCCGTACCGCCGAGGACGACGCTGACATACATCCGGAAGCTCAAAGAGGACCACGCGAGACACCATCTCGGTCGAGATGCGATGGTGCACCGGGCCGTGGCACAAGGTTGGAGTAGGCCGGGAACACACAAGTGGGCACAACTTGTCGCCGACGGTTGCGCAGGCTGCCTGGCGTCGAAGCCATATCGATCGATGCATGGCGCGCCCGGGGCAGCAGTGACCGCAGGGGTTGAACTGCCAAACCAACGCTGGTCAATAGACCACGCGGGCCCTTTCACATGGGGGGCGGAGCAGCACAAGCACTGGGTGCTGGTCGCGGTGGACGCTTTCTCGGGATACACGATGGTCGGGCTGATCGCGGAGCGCACGGCGCGGGCGGTGATCGACGTGCTGGAAGGAATGTTCAACGCAGAGAACGTACGGACACCGCGCTATCCAGCGAAAGGCGCCCCGCGTCGAGCGGAAGGTCTCCGCGGCCCAGATCACATACACGCTGACCGGGAGAAAAGCTTTATGTCAGCGGAGATGAGGCGATGGGCCGCGCAACCCGAGCGCGCAATCCTCGTCACGGCGGCAGCAAAGGGCCACCCCAAGGGAATGGGATGGCTGAGAAGCATGTTCAGAACATCAAGCGGGCCACCATGGCCTCCGGTTGGCACAAGCCGCTAACAGACACGCCGCATTCCTGGTTCGCAGTGATCCGGCAGGTTGTGAACGAGTACAACTTGACGCCACGCGAGTACGACCGCCGGCCGGGACACTCTGTCGTTTCCACCCCGTACGCGCTTTTCAAGGGCTCGGATCCACAGGGGACACGACACGAGGCAACAGTGGCAGATCGCCGGGCAGGAGTAGTCGCGGCTAGGCGGGCCCAGGAGATCGAAGGCGGCGGTCTAAACGCCGCGTCCCGCACGACGAAAGCGTTCAAGGTTGGCGACGAGGTGTGGTGGCGGACACCCGAGGGCGCAACACATGGCCCGCGATCGCTCAAGAAGTTCAAGTACGAGGGTCCCTATATCGTCACAAGCATCAAGACGAGGCACGATCAGACAGGTGGGACGGCCCCACCGAGAGTACCGCTCACGTATGTCATCCGCCATGCCTACGTGCGAAGCTCGCGCGACGCAGACGAGCACAAGGTGGTGAGTGTCCAGGATCTGCGCCCCGGCGCGACGATGCGGCTGGCAGGGTATCTCACAGAATTGCAGGCACAAGGAGCACAGTAGTGCGACATCGCGAACGATCGCGTAGGTAACGGCATACCGACGCGATGGGGGCAGATTGTTTCAGGAGTTACGTTTCCCCAGCGTGGCGAGGACGTCGACACACGTCAGACGGTCCAGGCGGAGTCAAAACTCCGCGATCCTCCTGCCAGAAACAGTCTAGCATTGAAGGTATCCGAAACTGTTGATCCGGACTACTGCAGCAACAGTCAACTTGGCCGGCCGGCTCGAGTCGCTGCTGGAAGACTTCGAGGAAGTTATTCTCTTGTGTCATTCTCACGGTGCTGTGCTTGCTACGCACGCGGAGTTTTACTTGCGTGTTGACCTCGCACGTCGTATTCGGTGCGTCGTCCTGGGAGGACTGGGACCCGCGGCATTTTCTGGCGTGAACTTCGTGTCGCGCCAGGACTACTTTCGACGCGTCGGAACTTTTTGTTGCTTTTGGCGATCAGACTGCCGGTTGGATCAGCCATCAGTTATGATGCTGGATCCGGATGCCAGTCACTCTGCCCAGTCCTGGCAGGAGCGTCACTCTGTCAAGTTCTATCTTAACTTCGAAGAGGTCAGAAGTGCAATCATGGAGCCCCCCTCGGTGGGGTGGACGTTCTGGCTTTGTTATGTTCTTTACGGTCCGCGTTCACCTAAGGAGGCTCGTGTGGAGGCTATTGGTGGATTGTTCCTTTTTCTATTCGTCGTGATGTATCCTCTGTTGGCAATGTCTCTGCTGGTCACGCTGACGGTGGCTTCGTTCTGTGCTTCCCTCTACATGTTGCAGTCGAGGTAGCGAAGGACTTCGCCATCATCCGTCGGCCGCAAGGTCGGCAAGAGGTGTGATGCAGTAGTCCGGATCAACAGTTTCGGATACCTTCAATGCTAGACTGTTTCTGGCAGGAGAATCGCGGAGTTTTGACTCCGCCTGGACCGTCTGACGTGTGTCGACGTCCTCGCCACGCTAAGGAAACGTAACTCCTGAAACAAGACTCAACTCCTCGACGTCTGCAGTCACTCTGGCTAGCGCCAGCCACAATAGTACCAACGCGAGCGAGCCGGTCGTTCGGAGCAAAACCCAAGTCGATCTCGCTGTCTTGAGGAGCATGTGATGACATGTGATTGTTAATACTCAAAAAGATGAACCCGTCCTGTGAACCACCCACGCGCACGCATCTGCTGCGGAACCTGCAGGCCGCGATTGAAGAGCTGCACCTGCAGCAGGTAGTCGCTCGACGGCGAGTCATGGCCGCTACGGTGGCTACGCGATGGTGTGAAGATTTTCCCGAAGTTCGGCAAGACGTTGCCCGATGAGGACTCCCAAACATCTTCAAGAACGATGAGGAGGAGGCGTGGGCGCTGCGTCAACTACAGCGTCTTGCGACACAGTAGTACGACGTGGTGGAAGACTGCGTCGCCGACGACGTGGAACACATCTCAGTGCGATGTCTGCCCAAGGAATCCGGGGGTAACGACGAGCGACGTTTTCGGTTGATAGTGAGGATGGGTGGACAGATGGTGGCCTCACTGGGTTGTGATCTGTGGTGGCTTGAAGCGCTTGAGCCAGAGCGACGACGCAACCACCGAGACAGACGAGAGCGCCATGGCTGCGCCAGCCACCAACGGGGGCAGGGTGATCTTGACTAGCGGGTAGAAGAGGCCGGCGGCAATGGGGATGCCGACGCAGTTGTAGAGAAAGGCCCAGAAGAAGTTGTGCCGGATGCGCGCGTAGGTGACACGCGCAAGGGAGAGCGCCGTCACAACGTCGCGAAGATCAGACTTCATCAGCACCATGTCGGCCGACTCAATGGCGACGTCGGTGCCGGCCCCGATGGCGATGCCGAGATCGGCCTTGGTCAGCGCCGGCGCGTCGTTGATCCCGTCGCCCACCATCGCCACATGCAGGTCCGCGTCCTGCAGCTCGGCGACCTTGTCAGACTTGTCGCCCGGGAGAACCTGCGAGAAGACCCGATCGTGCGCAATACCAAGATCGCGCGCAATGGCCAGCGCTGTCCGCTCGTTGTCGCCGGTCACCATCCACACCAGCACGCCAGCAGCCTCCAGATGCTCGATGACAGGCCTTGCCTCGGCCCGCGCCGTGTCGGCCACCGCCACCGCACCGGCCATCTGTCCGCCCACGGCCACAAACATCACCGTCTTACCGTCGCCTTCAAGATCCACCGCAAACCGCTCCAGCGCGTCTGGAAGCATCACCGAGTTCTCGCCCATCCACTGCCTGTTGCCGATAACAACCCGCAGCTCCTGCCCGCCATCGGCGCCCGATGCGGCCAACGTCGCCTCGAGACCGCGGCCGGAGACGGCGTTGAAAACCGACGTCTCAAGGCTGAGCCCGCCCCGCTCTTCGGCCTCGGCCCGAGTCACCATCGCGCGCGCCAGCGGATGCTCGGACATGGACTCTGTGGCGTGGACAATGGACCAGAACAGCGCATCGCCGAGCGCGTTGGCGGCTCCGTCGAATTGCCAGGCGGTGAGGGGGAGGATGGACGCGTCTGTGACGATGGGCGTGCCGTGGGTAAGTGTCCCAGTCTTGTCAAAAAGGACGGCGTCGATGGTGTGCGCGGCCTCCAGGGCGGTCCCGCCCTTGATGAGCACGCCGTGAGCAGCCCCAACACCAGTGCCGACCATGATAGCGGTGGGCGTGGCAAGGCCGAGCGCGCAGGGGCAGGCGATGACGAGGACCGCGATGCCGAAGAGGAGCGCAAAGAGAAAGTTGGAGCGATTGGCCGGAACCCACGAGTCTGGGATCACGCCCGAGTAGAGCAGGATGAGCCAGACGATGAAGGTAGCGATGGCAATGGCGATGACCACGGGCACAAAGTACGAGGAGACCTTGTCGGCAAAGGCCTGGATGGCCGGCTTGGACGTCTGCGCGTCGTGGACAAGCTGCACAATGCGCGCAAGTGTCGTGTCGGCGCCCACGCGCGTCACCCGCATTTTGATGCTCCCGGTCTGGTTGATGGTCCCGCCAATGAGTGGATCGCCGATGGCCTTGGAGACAGGCAGCGCTTCGCCGGTCACCATCGACTCGTCAACTGCCGTTTCGCCGGCAATTAACTCGCCATCGAGCGGGACGTTCGAGCCGGGGCGGACACTCAGCATATCGCCAACTTCGACAAGTGCCACGTTAACCTCGACGATCTCGCCATCATCGCGGACAAGGAGTGCCGTGTCCGGCTGCAGCGAGAGCAGCGACTCGATGGCGGCCGAGGTCCGGCCTTTGGCCACCGTCTCGAGATACTTGCCGCCGATGATAAAGGTGATGAGGAGGGCGGCGGTCTCGTAGAACAGGCCTCCCTGCTTTGTGTTGGTCACGCTCGCTTCGATCACCACAAAGAGCGAGTACAAGTACGCCGTGGTTGTGCCCATCGCCACCAGCACGTCCATGTTGGCCGACTTGTTGCGCAGCGCGTGGTACGCGCCCACGTAGAACTGGCGGCCGACGCCAAACTGGACCGGCGTGGTGAGGACAGTGAGCAAGAGTCCCTCCCACGTCAGACCTCGCACAATCTTGCGCATCAGCATCCGATGCGTGGGTGGGATGAACATAAAGACCATCGAGATGAGGAAGATGGGCAGCGAGAAGGCAAACGCCAACCAGAACAGCTTGCGCCACTTGGCCAGCTCGCGCTCGCGCATGGCCGCCAGCGATCGATCATGCACATCGTCCGATGCTAGCGATACGTCGTAACCAAGTTGCTCCACAGCCTCAACTAGGGCCCTCGGCCTTACCTTGTCCACCTCGTACTCCACCCGCGCCTGGCCGGACATGAGGTTGACGGACGCGCCGGTGACGCCAGGCAGATCCTTGAGCGCAGCTTCCACACCTGCCACACACGACGAGCACGTCATCCCCTCCACCATCAATCTGATCTCGCCAGCTTTGCCTCTGCTCAGTTCCCTGGCATCATACCCTAGAGCGCTGATGGCCTCCACCACCTGCTCGGCCGTCACAGACGCCTTTGCACGGACCGCGGCTTCGCTGGCGAGCAGATTGACGGCAATGTCCATCACACCCGGAAGGTTGGAGACGGCCCGCTCGACGGCAGCCACGCACGAGGCACACGTCATGCCCTCCACCAAGTACTGTGTTCTGATCAAGTCGTTCGAGTCCTGAGCGTCCGTGTCGGTCTTGTCCATGGCTGGGGCCACATTGGACTCGAGATCGCCACCGCCGCCACTCGCCGCATCTGCGTGAGTGGATGTATCGGTAAGGTCCCCATCTGAGGAGTAGTCCGAGTATGTGTAACTACTCATGCTTGATGCAGATGATGTAGGTGTTTGGGGAGGATGAGGTGAGTCAGGTGACTTCCTCGGATCGTTGGTAGTCATGCTGTCGGTCGTTCTCCACATTGGTTCCACTTTGCTCCACCTGCTCCACACTCCACATTCGCTCCACATGGCAATCGTTGGAATAAATTGAACGTTGTTCTCGCCTACCCCACATGGATCCAGTTCCGCTTGATTTGTGGTTGAATGCATCCCTGATTGTCGATCTGAACACCAGGAACTACAGCTGGTGTCAGACCTGTAGGACTGTTGGGCCGCGGACGATGCAAAGAATTCGCTGTGTGCTCCACCGGCTCCACCACGGCGGCTTGGTGTGCAACGGACGCCAGCGTAAACAAATTGAACCAACGTACCTCTCTCATGGCATCGGGCGGCAATGGGGGCGTCGATCAAGATGGACGTGGGCGTGGCGGGTCTCGGGGTCGTTGTACTCTGGTGCGTGCTTGCGGGCGTGGGCGCCATCCGCACGAAACCCTCGTCGTTCGTGAGGATGCTCAACGTCCGGCGGGCCGAGGTTGTGTTTGGCATTGGCGTGCTTGCGTACCTCGCTCTTTTCGCCGCCACGGCGACGTGGGTCGGCGTTGGCGACGGGCACAAGGTCGTCTCGGCCGACAAGAGCAGCTATCTCGGGCCGTTCGTCCTCGGCAAGCTTGCCAAGCTCTGCCTCGCGCTCATGTACCTTCCTGTGCTCCGCTACCCCGGCCTCGACCGGTGGGTGGCGGGGCGCGTCCTGCCGTTTGAGCGGCGCCTCAAGTTCCATCGCGTGTTCGGCGCTGTTTTTCTGACAGTCGCGAGCGCGCACGGGGCGTGGATGGCGATTCGCACGAAGTTCGGCCATTTCTCGGTCGGCGGGGTCTCGCTTGCGGGCGCGGTAGCGCTCGGCTTGTTTGCGGTCATGGGTGTCGGGGCATTGCCCACCATTCGTCGCCATCACTTTGGAGTCTTCCGTGCCCTGCATTGGCTCCAGGTCCCCGCCGTGATCGCTGCGCTCGTGCACGTCCCAGGCATCGCGCTCTACCTCGCCGTTCCTGGATCGCTCTGGCTCGCTCTCCTATTGGCCCGCACAGTGCGCGCGTGGCGTGGACGGCGGCGTGCCAAGCTCTCGGTGCTTCCCGGCGAAGCAACAGAAATATCCCTTATGTGGCCCCACGAGTGGGCCGCACCGCGTCCGGGAAGCTATGCGTTCCTTCGCGTCGGTTCGGTGGCGTGGGCGGCGTGGCATCCATTCTCGGTGGTCGATTTCGAGCCGAGCACTCGGCACGTCCGGTTCATCGTCAAGGTGGTCCACCACACGCATGCCCAATCGTGGACGGCGAAGCTGCACGCGCTCGCGGAGCGGGGCGCTAGTCCGAGCATCTGGATCGACGGGGCATATGGCGAGCTGAGCCTCTCGCATGCCGCACTCGCGCAGTGCAGCCACGTGGTGCTTGTGGCTGGCGGAGTGGGCGTCACGCCCATGGCTAGCATTCTGCAGCACGTCGCGGACACTGAAGCAGACTCTGTGCAGCGCGTGACGTTTGTGTGGACGTCGCGCTCCATGGCCGACGTGTGCACGCCGTGGATCGGCTCCACACTCGAGCACGCAGGCCGGGTTCTCGGCCCCCGGCTCACGACCTCGTTTTTCCATTCGGCGCCGCCGCCGTCACGGTCGATCTCGTCGTCGTCGTCTGACTCGGCCTCCTCGTCCTCGTCCGCCATCGCTACCTTCGAATGGACGCCTGGTCGACCCGATTTGGACCGACTGCTCGCCGAAGTGCAAGCCACTGGCTCGCCTGCACGGGCCGTCCTTGTCGCCGTGTGCGGGCCGCCGTCGCTTTGTGATGCTGCCATTGCAGCAGGAACTGAGCATGGATTTACTGTTCATGTTGAGACCTTTCGATTCTAGTCCTGCTAGCCAGATCAAGGAGAAAGTCGTAGATGAGCGGGGGGCCTATTTTGGTCTCGAGCCACCTCTTGGGGGAAATTGAGGTCCTGTCCTCGGCTACAACTCTCGCATCTTTGCGAACCATGTCCGCAATTTTTTCCCGCTCCATCGAAATCGACTGTGTCGACGAAGGCACACTCGAGAATCTCGAGTCCGGGATGACTGACAGCGTGGCGACGGCGGACGGCGAGGAGGTGTCGGCCGACTTTGGCTCGCATTCGAGCTCGAGCCAGAACGCTCTCCGGTTTTTCTGCTTTTCGGCGGCACGCTTGAGACGAATTGAGGTCAATCTGGTGCGAAGCGAGGTGATGAACGAGCTCGGAGGAGTAGTGATGGGCGTTCTCGGCGAGTGTGTGGCGGAGGCGCTTGTTGACCTCGAGCTCGCATTTACCTTCCTTTCGTGGAGCAAGCGCGCCAGCGGGCTGCAGCGGCAACAGGGGATGCCGGGCAGGTTGCAGTGTCGGGAGGATTACGTCGCGCAGTGGTGGCTCGGCCAAGCAGCAGAAGCAGTCGCGGTTGTTTGGCAAGTGTGCGACCAGCACTTGGCTGGTGTAACATCGCCGCCCTACAGGCCGACAGCGCCAAAATCCTCCAGCGCTTCGAGAAGGCCATCGTTGTGTTCCAAGCACGCCGCTAGTCCTACGGCGCAAAGCTCTCCTCGTGGTACTCGGTGTGCGGCAGCGCCCGCGCCGCCGCCCGGACATCGTCCGCGAGCGACGCGATGCCGCAGTAGAACACGCCCAGCGGCGTGGTGGCCGTGTGATGTGCTGCAGCGTAGCCGAGCATGTAGGGAAACTGAGGACGCCCGGCGGCAATGACCGCGTGCGCCGCGAGGCTCGTCGGAATATCGTCTGACGACGGCGGCGACGCGCCTGAGACAAAGATCCGGATGTCGGTGACGAGCCGATGTGGCGACGGCGAAAGCGCGGCATTGGCCTGGCTCGCCAGCTCAGCAAGCAGCTCAAGCAGCCACTCATAGTCGTCAAGCGAGCGGGTCACCCACCAGAACGAGATCGTCTGCTCGCGCGCTAGCTCTCCACGCTGAGCCCTGTGGATGAGGTCTGAGACAATCGACGCGTACGGCGTCACCCCGATGCCCGACGCGATGAGGATTGCGTGTGAAAACGCGGCCACGTTGCGCGAGTCAGTTCGGAACGGCCCGGCAACCCGGATCGAACGCCCAATCACACGGTTTGCATCCTCAGCCACCGCCTCCACTACTCTGCACGTCCACGATGATGCGCCGCCGACGGCCTTAACGTACAGCGTGATGTCGTCCGCCAGCGGCGACGACGCGATGGAGAACGGATGCCACTCGCGCCGCGCCAGCCACGGCAGGTTGATCCAGACAAAAGTGCCCGGTGCGAGGTGCTTGTGCATGGCGGGCGTGGCGCGGAACTTGATGGCAACCACCCGGCCAGCAGTAAGCGCCGCGCCAGAGATGGCGTGCGCTTTAAGCGAGGACGCGACTGAGATCATCCGGTGGACAATGTATGCGCCGAGGCCAAGGCCCGCAAACCAGGCCGTCCGGGACGTTGTCGGGTGTACAGCGGCGATGGCCGTAGCGAGGAAGACCAGGTGGTGAACGCCGTAGAAGAGCTCAAACCAAACCTTGCGGACGAGCGGGATAGAGAAGAGCGCCACTGTGGAGAAGAGCATGAGGAGGAGAAGGCCCGAGAAGCCAAGCCACGTGGCCAGAATCACCTCAATGGCCGAGTCAGCTGTCCGATACGTCGCCAATCGCGACCTTGCCGGGAACGCCGACTCACGCTCTGCCGCCGTCGCTGCGCCCACGCGCGTTGCGCTCACCAGGTGCGCCACGCCGTGGACAAGCCCGAGAAGTACGATGGCGCTCCCGGCCAGCCGATGGAAGACAGTCAGGTGCCGGCGCGAGGGGATGAGTCCGCGGAGGAGGGTGCCGCGCGGATAGATCCGGCTGAGGAGGTTGGCCATGACAGTGAGTGGCGCGTCGAGGAGCGGGAGGAAGACAAAGAGGAGGAGCGCACGGATCGCCCCGCCACACGCCTTGGAGACCACCAGCCAGCCACCGAGCAGGCCATGCGCCGGGTCGGTGAGGCCAGCCACGACCGAGTGGTTGATCTCAAAGAGCATCGTGATGGCCACCACCGCCGCCCAGAGGACAGACGCCGGCTGCGTCGCCAGCCGTTGGTACGCGGTGTAGGCCCAGACCACACCCGCCGCCACCATCGGGAGCGAGGCCGTGGCCGACGACATCCGCGGCGCCACGTCGAGCGCCTCCATCCGCGCCATCAGCGCCATCGGGATGGGTACGATGGTCGGCAGCTGCTCCCACAGATGCTGCGGGAGCTGGCGCACATCGCCGACGGAGCCGAGCGCGTGGACGTGCCAGAGCGTCGCGCTCAGCGCCCGGAGCTCGGCGCTCTTGGTGTAGCCAACCGCCGTCGCCGCCGCCGTCACTGCCACAATCAGCGGATCATCATCGGAGAAGTGAACCGCCACCGATGCCGGCGTTTGTAGGCGAAAGACCTTGCGCCAGGCCGCCCACCGACCGTGGCCGCTCCCTAGCACCAGGCCCATCCTTGTCTGGCTCTCCGCCGTCCATCGGCTCACAAACCTGGCGTATGCCTTCCACGTCAGCTCACCTTCGCTCTCAGCCCGCACCAAGAACGCCCGTAGCGTCCGCTTCACCAGCGCTCGCCGATTGGTGGTCGGCGAGAACCGCGCATGTCGCGAGCCGATCGGCGTCATATCCATGATCTCCCGCGCCCCGTCCGCCCGCGCCTTTGTCTCAGCCCTGGTCCCAGCGCTGATGTACCGCAGGAGGAAGAAGACAAAGGCCGATCGCAGCGCCCGCGGGCACCGCAGCGACCACGCCCCGGCGAAAAGGCAAAAGCCACCAGTGGGATGCCCTCGGCTTCGTCCGCGGCGCCGCTCAGATCGGCCAGAAACGCATAAAGAAGCGACGATTGGCCCATGGCGACGGCGAAAGCGGAGGGCCCGACGACGGCCGAAGACAGGATGGGCAGGATGTCTCCTTCGGCAAGATCGGCGGCGGCTGGGAAGAGCGCAAAGGCAAACTCGCGGGCAAAGACGGTGGCCACGTGCGGCGGGATACCGGTGGTGGTGTAAAGGTCGCTGGCAAAGCCGTCGCTCAGCTCAATCGTCGTCACCACCGCCAAAGTTGACGCCGATCGCCGGGCGAAGAGCGTGGCGAGGAGCGTGGGCCCAGTGCCACCGGCCGATGTCGCGCTCCACCGCGCGATGAGGTCCGGGATCCGACGGTGAAGGGCGCGACCGGGGACGCGCGGGACATTTTCAGCGTCTGAGCCAAAGGTGGCGATGTGGCCACTGGTGCAGTATCGTGCTCGTCGTCACCCTCGTCATCGCTCTCATCGCTGCTCCAGGAGACAAGGCTGTCGAGCTCGGCGGCCGATCCGTCGCCGCCGTTGTAGCGGGCGAGGAGGGCCGAGGCGGCCGTCGAGTGTTTGAGCCAGAGGCGCGCGCCCTCGATGACCGAGGCGACGACCGAGGCGAGGAGCAAGACGATGACGAGAGCGACGATAACAGTCGCGCGTAGAGGCTGAGGTCCGATGGCGAGAAAGAGGATGCCGAAGAGAGCGGTGAGCGTGGCGGCCATGTCGTATGCCGTAAAGAGCGACGACGCGTAGGGCGAGAAAAACCGAGGAGCGCCACCGATGCCGCGCCAATGAGGAGGAGGGCGGCGGCGAGGCTGATTCCGGTGTGGAGCGTGGCGTGGAGCGCAGCGTGGCCAATGTGGCTGGCGTAAAAGACGAGAACATACCACGAGTGCGGCGGGACGTGCCGGTGGACAATCTGCATGTGGAGCGCCGGCCATGTCGCCGGACGCGCGAGGGCCATGGCGGCCGTGGCTGGGAGCCCGATGACCACTGCTATGCCGACAATGAGCACGACCGGGAAGTACGACCACCACTCGGGCGTGTAGCAGAGCGCGCCTGGGTGGCCAAGGACCGACCGATCGGGTGAGCCAGGCACGGCTGAGGAGCAGATGGTGAACTCGAGGAGACGGACAGCAACCGGGAGGAAGGAGAACTCCAGGAGACTGTACCAGACCCGGAGCGAGGCCCGGATGAGATCGATCGGCGCGATGGAAGCCTGGGTGAGGGTCCGACCGAGGATGGTCGACGCAGCCCAGATGGGATGAGTGGCGGCGAGGCGGGTGCCAACGGTGGGGATCCAGATCTTGATCCAGGCGATGCCGAGGGCAGCGGCGAGAGCGGTGGCGAGGGCGATCCAGAGCGGCGATGAGATGGCGATGAGCCAGTTGGCAAAGTACGCCGAGTCGCCAGAGATGCCCAGGCCACACTCGGCGTCGACGACCGAGAGCTCGAGGCGAAAGATGGCGAGGAGCGAGAAAGCGCGAAGATCAGCGTCGCTGGTGGGCACTACCGTCGAGCCGTAGAGTGCCAGAAGCTGGAGCGCACCCACAGTGATGTCGATGGCGACCGCAAACTGTGGGACAATCCGGGTGGAGAAGTACAGCACAGTGGAGGCGACGATGACGGCACCAATGACCACCGCCGCAGCCCACCCGTTGTGCGCGGCGCACGGGGTGCACACGCCCTGGAACCACCGATAGCCAGGCGCGCATGCTCCACACAGCCGCCCGCTGTACCCGATCCCGCACGACGCGCTGGCGTTGAGCCCGGGGCAGGCGGCGGTGACCCTGCAGCGGACAAAGGTGCGGCTTGGCCCTGATCCCACCGCCATGTAGCCCGGCGCAGCGAGGAGGCTCGCTGTTCCGCCGGGGCAGATGGCGCCTGTCGGGCACGGCGCGCAGTCCGGTCCGGTGTGACCCGGCGCGCACACGCAGTCGGCGATCGAGGTTGAGAGCGGCGGCGCGTCGCGGCCGGGAGGACAGGCGATGCACGAGCCGAGGCCGCCACCGGCGTACGATCCCTGGGCACAGCCGATACAAAAGGTGGCGTTGGCGTGTGGCGCCGTGCCTGGCTGGCAGAGCAGCCGTGTAATGGCAAGGACCGGTGCCGAGAGCGCCGACTTGTGCCCGCGCCATCGCGCGAGTACTTGGAACATGTACTCAGTGCCCGGCGTGAGGTCAGAGAGCTCGATGCTGAGCCGCGCCACGGCTTCGGCTACTAGCATCGAATTGGCGTAGACGTCGTAGACGAGATCGTCTGGCGCCTCGCTCTCGCTCACCCTGGCCGCCTCCCACGCCAACAGCCCGGTGGTGTAGCTGACCGACACCGCAAGCGCGCGCGGTGGGACAATGTGCGGTGTGACGCCGATGACGATCTCGGTCGTCCGAGTCGGCGGGCCGTACTCGAGCACCAACGTGGCGTTGGAGCCGGGCGACGGCGTGTAGATTGGCTCGAAGACGAGCGTAGGGCCGTTGCTGTCGAGCGTCGCTCCGGCCACCGCGCTCGACAGGCAGAGCTCGAGCAGCGATGGATCAACGCCGGGTGCGGACGACGAGAGCGCGAGCGAGACGGCAATGCGGTCACCGATGGACACTGTGAGCGGCTCTGTAGCGTTGATCGAAAGCTTGGCGTGGCTGTTGTAGACGGGAGTGAGAGCATCGCGGACACGGACGACGGCGAGATGTGGCGCGAGTGTGGCGATGCTGACCGGGCCGTCGTCGCTGCTCGCCAGCGCCAGTCGGCGCGGACGGCCAACAACGGTGGCAGTCGCTGCGCCCGGGGCAGTATGCACAGCAATGATCGTCGAAAGCAGCGACGACGACGACGCTGTCGCACGGTAGACAATGACTGCACTGGCGAACTCCGGCTCAAGCGGCGGAAAGACGGCCAGGTTCTCAAGCGCGGCGATCGGGACGGGCATGACCGGATTAAGTGGTGTGAGATCGCCGGCGGCGGAGAGAAGAAAGAGCTGCGTCGGTGAGGCGAGGAGAACGAGTGACGCTGAGAGCGGCTTGGGTGCGACGATGGCCGATGCCGGGACGACGACACTGGCGATGGTGGTCCAGTCGTGGGCGGCGATGAGCACGATACTGTCGCCAGGCGCAGCCGCGGCAGTCGAGGCAAGCGGGCCGACGACGATGGCCGATGGGAGGACAACGGCACGCACGATGGGCCCGGACGAGCGGTTAAAGCTATGCGGGAGGCTGAGCGAGGTGCCAAGGGGGACTGATGCCGAGATAATGAGCATGCCGTCGTGCGGCGAGGTTGTGAGTGTCGTACCGACAAGCATCGGACCGTCGTGTAGCGAGAGGATAACCGCAGCAGCTTCGGCAGCGTCGCCGGCCACCAGTGCAACAAGCCCGGCACTGCCTGCGCCCGGGAGGGCGGCGAGCGTGAGGGCGGGGCTGCTCGCCGCACCAATGACCGGAACGTGAGCATCGGCGGCGGCCAACACCATCGCCTCGGCCATGCCCTCGGCTGGCGAGGGGACGACGATGGCGTCTATAAAGACAGAGCTGTTGCCCGCCGTGGCATAGACAAGATAGCCCGGGAGCAGCGAGGTCGGTGGAAGAAACAGAGCCGACGAGGGGACGATGTGGCGGGAGGACGGGCTCGGCGCCGCGCACGACCATGATGCGTAAGCGCTCGAGCTGTTGTTGACCGTGCAGACTGATGTGGTCAACTGCACTGGTGATGACGTCGTGGGGGAGGAGGACGAGGAGGAGACGACGAGCTGTGTGTCCGACATACGCACCATACGCTCGACACTCTGTCTGTGAACACCATCACCGCATGTCGCCGACGTGGAAATTTGCCACACACCCACGCTGCCCACACCATCATCACCATTGTCGCCATCAATATGTGAGAGACATACATGGGAGGCCATCGCACCAGAGCCCGAGCCTGAGCCCACGTCATGGCTCAGACAGAGGACCACCATGACAGCCACCACCGCCAAGAGCTTTGCTATCACCTGCCGGTGGACCATAATATAATCAGACTGCGCAGAAAGGGGAGGGGGGGAGGGGAGGGGGAGGGGGGAGGAGGACGGGGTATGGGTAAGGGCAGAGGGAGGTCCTGGGGGGTCAAGTGGACCTATGCCGGTAGTATGGGTGTGGAGACTGGTCGGCTGGTGGTGGCGGTAGCTGTCGTTGGTCGCTGGCTTTGGTTGCTAGTGCTTTGGCTCTTGACGCACGCGTTGAATGAGTTGATCGTCTTGACCACAGGTGTACCCAACTCGGGCTGGAAAGGCTACGTTAGACACGTAGAGTAGAAATTTGATCGACTACTATATAGCTAGTGGTGGTACGTATGTACATGGGTGGGTAATATAGGTAACCCGGCTTGTACATGGCCGTACGAGGTGCAGGTGGACCGGATGTCACTCATGTGAACGGTGCGGCGAAATCGGCGAGATTGGCACGTTTTTTCGTGGGAAATGAAAAAGGTGCAAGCGGAGCGTGTGGAGCGTGTGTAGGTGTGGGACAGGCAAGGCGGATTGAGGTTGGGAGGCAATACTCGTCGATAGCAGGAGCATGAGTAGCACTGAAGAGTATGAGTATGACTTGGTGGGGATGTCGGTAGCGACGGGGCAGCTCGGTGGCATCGTATTGGAAGAGGTCGGTGGCTATGGAGGAGAGGCTCGAGGTGGTGCGAACAACGCCGTTGGCCACGACGACGGCCAGCATGATGGAAGTGATCAAGATGATGATGTGCGGAGACGGCTCGAGTCCGAGGTACAGGCCTTCCGCAGGCGCGCCGTCCGATTCGCTCCGCCTGAGGATCCGGAGGGACTGGACCACGTGGTCATGCTGCGATGGGAGGGGAAGGAGCGAAAGCAGTTTGGCGGTGACGGTGGCAGAGGCGGAGGAGGAGAAGAGCAGGGATCGGTGCTCGCTCGGCTGAACAACACGTCGTTTGCGCTTGCGCTCGGCCTCTGCTCCAATGCTGTCCTCCTTCGCGCGCTGGACAACATCGGCTTGCCGACGGCATCAGGCTTTGCTACCCTCCCGGCCGGGCTGGCCACCTTTGGCTGGGTGGTGGGCTTTCTAGCCCTCGCTGCTGTTGCCTTGCTCTACGCGGCCAAGGTCATCGTCTCACCGAGTACTGTCTCGCGCGAATTCCGCAATCCGGCGCGCATCAACCTGTTCTTTGCGCCGATGCTCGCCAGTGTGCTGCTAGCCATCGCGGCACCGGACGACACCCGATCAGGCCCTGTCATGGTGGGGATGTGGATGCTGGCGGCGGCGTATCAGCTCGTTTTCTACATGGTTCTCGTCCATCGATGGATCTACACGGCGACGGCGCGGAACGTGCACATGCTCAACCTCATGTCTGTGGTGGGCTTTTTCCTCCTCACCACCTTTGGCAGCACCATGCCGCGCGACGAGGCCGTCTCGATGCGGCCGGCACTCGAGTTTACCATGGTTGCTGGCTCCATTGCCCTCGTCGTCACCTTTCTCCAGCTCTTCATGAACCCGTTTGAAATCGGCGCCGAGGAAAAGTCATCGCCCATCATCTTCCTCTTCCTCGCCCCGCCGTCGGCCGCCGCCATTGCCGCCCGCTCGCTCTCTGATTTGTACCAGACTGCCGAGAGCGGCGCCGCTGCAGCTGGTGAAGCCGCCGGCGTCCACTGGGTCTTCCGCATTTACTTCTACTTTGCCATCCTCTGCTTCTTCTGGGTCATCCCGGGCGCCGGTGCGTTCTTCAAGACCAAGACCTTCAAGGTCTCCTTCTGGGCCTATCACTTTCCCGTCACCGCCTTTGCCACTGCCTTTCTCACCTACGCCGCCAGAGAGACGCCCACCACCATCGTCCGCCTGCTCGCCGCCCTCGCCTGCGCCTTGTCGTTTGTCACTCTCTTTGCCATCCTCGCTCGCACCATCTACCACGTCTTTGTCACCCTCTGTGGCTCATCGGCGCCGCCGTCGTCATCGTCCGCTCGCTCTGCCATCAAAGATCTGGCAGCGTATGGCGAGAGCGAGCGCCCGATCGACAGCTCGGTCCCGCGCAAGGCTCGCAAGGTCCGAGTCCATCGTCGGCGGCGGGTGCGTCGTGTGGAGCGCGCGCGGCCTTTGGAGGGTGGACGGCATGGTCGTGGTGAGGAAGGGAAGCTCAAGGAAAGCCTGGAGACCGAGAGCGTCGAGACTGGCGAGACCGGCTCGCTGTGATTGGAAGCTGCTGTCGAGGGCGAGGAGGCTCGATGAGGAGAGCTTCACTTCCGGTTTGGATTGAATGCGCTCCTGGTGTGCGTTCAGCAGGCGGGGCGTGTCATGCGCGGGACAGGTTGAAGCGGCCAGGCTTATCGCCCACTACAGGCCGGGTCGCTTGACGGCCGTCACGCGTCTCATGTCGGGCGTGGTGGACCGAGCGGATCTTGAACTTCTCTGCCGATGGCACCGTAGAGGACTTCGCGGCACACCCGCTCGCGGGAAGGCCACGCGGCGGACAAAGGCAGCCATGGCCACCAAGACGTTCATCTCGGGCGCCGCCGGGCGCCGCGGGAGCGCCCGTGAGAGCATCGATCGCGCGTTGCAGGTCGATGGTCGTTCCGCTTTCGCCCACCAGCTTGAGCATGGGCTTGCAGTGGTCGTGGTCGACCGTGACGGCATCTGCTCCGCCACCCTCCGCCACATGGCCCGAGCCCACAATCACAAGCAGTCATGTCTGCACCTGACCTGTCCCCCCATTTTCTTCCCGGCAGCTAGCAGGTACGTAGCGGGACTCTCCGTGCATTATGCCCCATGCCTCCCTCTGCGTTGATATGCGGTGTCGTAGTCTCCATCAACCCGTTTCCGGCTCGCGTTTTCTCGCCCTCCAGTGGGCACCCCATACCGAATCCCCTTCTCCTTACCCGCTCGACACTCTGCTATGGTTCCACGCTATGGTTCCGCAGAAAGCTCACATCGTGCCAGCACAAGCCACCTCTCTTTGGCTGATTATCTCCCTCCGCACGTGCCCTACACCCACGGGTGCAATGGCCCTCGCATCGTTGATCCAAGAAAAAACGAAAACATAATCTAACTCACTCCTGCTTCGGTTGGCACAGCACGCGACAACATCCTCGAGATCATGGCTTCCGGACACCTCTCGATTGAAACACACTCAAATGCATGTCCTCATCCGCCTGAGCATCCTGTGTTTGTGGTCTTGGTCGAGGCCGACGAAGCACTACAGTTGACGCTGGTGCAGCGCGACGAGGCCGGAGCCATTTTGCCGATCGGCTCCGACGCGGACAACCCGGGCTGGTATCTCAAGCGCAACTACAGTCGTGTCTTTGGCCATTCCAGTGTCTTGGAAATCTACCGTGGCTTCCTCAAAGCCGACGAGCTCGCTACTGCAAGCCCTCTCCACACCCAGCGATACCAGGCCGGTGGTGACATGAATCACCACACCATCAAGATCACCGCGTAAGCCTGAGCCGCCCCCGTCACAACCCAAGCACATCTGACAATGTTAAAGCGCACACACGCACGCACGCACGCACCAGCTGCCTCGATTCCAGTCCCCGCCACTCATGTGACTCTCGGATTCGCCCCTTGTCGTTGCTCATCATGCCCGTCAACGGCGCCACCACCGACAAACTCGTCCATTGCCGCCAAGATCCACAACGCTATCAACCTCTCGACCAAGCGCCTAGTGTTTATCGTTGTCAAAGACAAGCTCCGTGCCCGCGCAACTCGCTCATGCTGCAGCCATGCGACGCCGATCGGTGGCGGTGCGCGACAACGAGTCCGAATGACCGCACCGTTGATGGATACGGGCTGCGGACTGCCTTGAGGACAGAAACAATGAACGTGGCGGCCCCAGCAAGGACCACGCATCCGTTTTCGAGGATAAACGTGAGTGTCATCAGTGCCATCGACGTTAATGCTGTTTGTCTCCTCTGCGCTCACTCCTCAAACACTCGGTCCGCCAACGATTCTAGGCCAGCGTCCATGTCGACCCGCACGTGCCGCATGTGTTTCAGCAAGCGCGCTTCTGATCCAGCTGTTAATCACTGAAGTACGCTTGGGGCATGCTGACCAGGATGACAGAAAGGCTGTGCGTTAGATGCCATTTCTACAGGTACACACGCATCACCGTGACACCCGACCAACTGCAACCCCAACCCGCACCGTCTCCAAGACAACGTAAACACCCAACCATTGTCCCCCCACATATGATAACTTTGTCCTGTCTGCTTCCATATGTGAATACGGCCCAAAATGAGCTCTCCATACCACCTACACTGGCAAAGACCACTGACAAGCAACGTTTTCGGTCAACACACAAAGGTTTCTCAACTAAGTCATCTGGTCAACCCTCAAAGCCACCACCACCACCACCCACCACCACCACCACCACACGGCACAGCAACGGAAGGACGGACAGTACACCTCACCCTCCACACACACACACACCGACACACACACACACACACACACACACACACACACACACACACACGACACGACGACGACGACGACG